TGATGGAACGGACCATAAAATCCAGTTAGCACAAACACAAATTATATTGAAGGATGACATAACTTTAAATAAACAATTTATTTTTTAAAGACTATCTTTTACAAGGCCTATATAAGGCGTGGATTTTTTAAAGAATATTTCTTACAAGGCCTATATATGATAGATACCAAGCAACGGCTCTCATTGGCTTTAACATGGCGAAGTCCAGGCTTATCTTGGTCCCTTTTTCATCTCAATTGTGGACACGGACCTCCCCGCGGTGCCACCTGGGGAGGTATTCTCATCACCCGATGAAATAGTGCACTTGGAATATGCGCACGTTGTACAAAACAGGCGCAGTGTTCGCTTTGGCGGATGTACTCAAGAAGTACAAAGCCGATATTATTGCCTTACAGGAAATGCGATGGAAAGGGACAGGCGTAAGTAAATCAGACGATTACGCCCTGTATTATAGCTGCACGAGGCATGAATTTTGGCTGCGGATTTATGGTTAACAGGAGAATAAAAGACCTCGTCTCCAGATTCAATCCAGTAGATGAGCGAATTGCTATAATCCTTATAAAAGTGAAGTTCTTCTACATCAGTCTCATTTGTGCCCAGCTCCAACCGAAGATAAAGATGAACAGACCAAAGACATATTTTACGACCGCCTCGAAACAGCATATGATCTCTGCCCTGACCACGACATTACAATTCTGCTAGGAGATTTAAATGCAAAAATCGGAGGGGAGCATATTTTTGGTCCCAATGTCGGAAAATTCAGCCTCCACGAAGAAACATCCTACAACGGCATGAGGTTGATTGACTTCGCGGCAGCAAAAAACATAGTAGCTAGCAGCACCAGATTCAAGCTTCTCGATATACACAAGGCCACTTGGATTTCTCCCGATCGAACAACGAGGAATCAAATCGATCATATTGTGATAGACGGAAGGCATTCATCCAGTATTTTAGACGTCCGATCGATCCGGGGAGCGAATATCGATTCGGACCATTACCTTGTGACAGCCAAGGTACGCACCCGTCTTAATTTAGCAGCAAAGGTGCGATCTAACACAACACGGACACTCGACGTCGAAAAGCTGCAAACACAACAGGTAGCCGAGGCCTACTCCGCTCAACTTACCCATTTCCTTGAAGCACAGTGACAAACTGCAACAAAAGCAACACTTGGGTACCACAAACCACCACCAAGAAACCCATGGTACGATCAGGAGTGTCGTAATGCTACTGATGTGAAAAACGCAGCGTATATGTCAACCCTGCAGGCAGTTGCAACACGTAATGTGATGCAGAATTATCGGAAGAAAAGGAGACAGGAAAATCGTGTTTTCAGAAAAAAGAAGAAAGAACAAGAAAAACGTGAGCGTGAGCAAATCGAGATGTACAGGAGTCAGAATGAAGTCCGAAAATTTTACCAACGAGTAAAAACCAAACCGAAGGCTTTGGTGCAAGCACACCCTCCTGTAGAGAAAAACGTGAGCGTGAGCAAATCGAGATGTACAGGAGTCAGAATGAAGTCCGAAAATTTTACCAACGAGTAAAAACCAAACCGAAGGCTTTGGTGCAAGCACACCCTCCTGTAGAGATCAAGAAGGAAACCTGGTGCAAGATACAGACAGCGCGTTGTGGATCGGGAAGGAGCATTTTGAAAAGCTTCTAGTATCAACTAGTGGCGTTCAAGAAGATACCACAGAACCAATAACAGATGATGGTATACAGTGTATACCACCTAGCCAAGATGAGGTCATAAAAGCAATTAATCGGCTCAAGAACAACAAAGCAGCAGAAGCCGATGGGTTACCAGCCGAACTATTCAAGACTGATGGCCAGATACTGGTCAGGAACATGCACCAGCTGATTAGTACAATTTGGCTAGATGAATACATGCCCAATCCGATCTGGATAGGGCTGTCGAATTTATTCGACTATGCAGGATAACTTTAAGTGGCACAAGGTCAGCAGTTAAAGTAGAAAAAGACCTATCGGAGCACTTCAATACCGAACGAGGATTCAGACAAGGCGTGGATTTTTTAAAGAATATTTTTCATGGCCTCTAAAAGCAGTGGATTTTTTAAAGAATATTTTTTACAACGCCAATATAAGGCGTGGATTTTGTAAAGACTATTTTTTACATAGCCTATATAAGGCGTGCATTTTGTAAAGACTATTTTTTACATAGCCTATATAAGGCGTGCATTTTTTAAAGAATTTTTTTACAACGCATGGAATTTTTAAAGAGTATTTAATTCTCTTTATTTACATATTTATTTTTTGTTTTTTAATTTTTATTTCCATGTAAACCATGTCTACAAAGCCAACACAAGCCGGCCGCAAAATAAGCCGTTTTATGTTTTCCATTTTAGCTTATTAAAAAATCAAAGAATGAAAGGGAAAATATGAAACCAGTTACTTAGCTGTTTTCTGTTTGGCGTTTTTAGTCTGTTGCTCTTGACAAAAACAAAATATGGCTATTAAGGCAACATGGCAACGGCTTGGGTTGCTATAAAACATTCTGTATCGGTAAGAAACAAAATTTGGTTTAATATCAAAAAAAGGCAGCAATTCATTAAATTTTTTAACACTCGCCAAGAAGACCGGGAAATTAGAGATAGCCGGAAAATGGTGAGGAATGAAAACAGAAAAATTAAAGGCAATAAATTTACATAAATTATTTTTCAAAAAAAAAATATGCTATTTCCTTTATTGATTTATAATAGCCACCAAAGAAGAAATTGAGCAAAAAGGAAAAGGCCCGTTTAGAGGCAGAGCAGGCGGAATTGTTACGCATTGAAATGGAGAGAGAAAAGTAGGTGGCATAAAACATATTTCCCAGGATTTTTCATGTTACCAATTCCCTGAATTTCCCCCCCTGTCCCTTTGCAGACTCAAAAAACTCGAAGAGGCCCGGCAGCGTCGCAAAATCGAACGCGAACAGGCCAAACACCGCCTCCAAATGGAAATCCTGGAGAATAAACAACGTCGTTCGCAACTTAAAAACAGTATGGCCTTCTTCAATCAGGTACGTCAAACTATCGATGGTATAAAACGTATGGCCAAAGATGAAGTTGATTGGGAGAAATTTATGCGTTGTAATGGCCTACCGAATGCCAATAGCCCCAGTGATTTACGTAAATACATCCATCAATGGAAAATGGATGTAGAGAGGAGAAATCGCGAGTCGCGAAATTGGTTACTGAAGACCAACGAAAGAACGTTGTTAACACAGGATTTTACTGTGCCGGATCTTACCAAGGCAACGTTGCGAAAACAGCAGGGTAATTTGGGTGATATCTATGCCCAGCGTGTCAAGGAGATATTGGGAGTAAGTAAAATTTAATGATACGATAATGGATATGCGGGAGCTTAGATTCATATTAAATATATTTGACAACGGCCTATTGGAGGACCAACACAAGACGCTGATTTTTAAAAGAATATTTTTTTCAAGGGTCACTACAAGGCGTGGATTTTTTAAAGAATATTTTTTCAAGGGTCACTACAAGGCGTGGATTTTTTAAAGAATATTTTTTCAAGGGTCATAACACAAGGCGTGGATTTTTTAAAGAATATTTTTTCAAGGGTCACTACAAGACGTGGATTTTTTAAAGAATATTTTTTCAAGGCGCGGATTTTTTAAAGAATATTTTTTCAAGGCGCGGATTTTGAAAAGAATATTTTTTCAAGGCGTGGATTTTTTAAAGAATATTTGCTGAAGGATCAAACCAAGGCGTGGGTTTTTAAAGAATATTTTCTGAAGGACCAAAACAAGGCTTTTAAAAATATTTTCGAAATGACCAACCAAAGGACCAAAGTTTTTAAAGAATGTTTTCTGAGGGGTTGTCAAATTTTCCTACCATCCTACCCGCCATTGTTGAAGGTCCTCAACGATTAAGAGTCCACCTTATGGCTTAGCCCTTATTTTCAGCACTTCTGAATTTTTGGAAACTTAATCTTAAATAAAGGTAAACTTTTTGATATAACCCTATTATAATTTTGATCTTTTAGATCCTCCAAGAACTCAATGATGCTCTCAATGACAAGACCAAACCTCAGCATACCCTAACCGATCTGGGTAAACTGAAGACAGAAATACGAATTTTACTCAAAGAATATTTGGATGATTTTACCTACAAGACCATGTCGCATGTGGAAAGGGATATGGAGTAAGTAGAGACAAATAGCAATTCAATTTATTCAAATAAAATAACCTCCTTCTCCAGGATTGATCGACCAGGAGTATCAAAACACATATACGATTCTGAAGTATTCAAAAGTTTCATATGGACTTTCTCCAAGGATGCACAAATGTAAGTATGACAAATTTTAGAATAGGAAACCATTTTCAAATGAAATTCTCTTACAGTTCCCTTAGCGCCAAACCGAGAATCGGGGAACAAAATCTACACAATGAAATTGAGTTCCCCTTGATGAAAATGTTATTATCCCTACCACCATCGGTAATACTCTACAGTTCTGCTCTAAGGGGTCTATGGCTGAACTATGATCACCTAAGTGACTACTGTCCAAGTTTTAATTTAAAGAAACCCCGATCGCCGCATATAAGTAATTCGAATAATACTGCTACGCTTTTCCGATTCAAAAAGGCAAATATTTTCTCATTCTTTCAGATATGTTACACCAAACAAAAAGAGAATGGCGAAAACGCAAAGAGATCCTGCAAAATATGTTGGATGAATGTTCGAAAGAAATTCCGCTGCATGAATTGGAACAATATGAACAGGAGGGTGCGAATCAAAAGTCAAGGGAGAAAAATCTCGATGTGGATAAATTGTATTTGGAATATGAAGATGAACTGAATAAGCTGAGACGCAAAGCAATTGGTCCGGAAAGTTTTGGCCTCTTAGATACTGATGTTAACTTGAGGAAATATCGCATCATTGGTGGTGTCTATTGTTTGGATTATTTGGAAACACCGCAGCAGGATAAGCAGTTGAATTCAAGGTCCTTTATAAGGACGAGTAAGTTAAAGAGAGGGCTGAAAAATAATTGGGATCACTATAATAATGAAAAGTGGACGGCAATGACTAAGGGGTTCCCCATTATGAACGGGGCATATTCTTTTAAAAATCCACGCTTCTGCTAACCCTTGAGAAAATATTCTTTAAAAAATCCCCGCTTCTGCTAACCCTTGAGAAAATATTCTTTAAAAAATCCCCGCTTCTGCTAACCCTTGAGAAAATATTCTTTAAAAAATCCCCGCTTCTGCTAACCCTTGAGAAAATATTCTTTAAAAAATCCACGCTTCTGCTAACCCTTGAGAAAATATTCTTTAAAAAATCCACGCTTCTGCTAACCCTTGAGAAAATATTCTTTAAAAAATCCACGCTTCTGCTAACCCCTGAGAAAAGATTCTTTTAAAAATTCTAACTTTGGATTGACCTCTGCTAAACCTCCCAAAATATTCTTTTCTTCTTGCGATTTAGTTTTAGCCCCAAACAAGCTCTCCCACAAGGTGTATTATCAGACCTATAAACCTCCACCACCTCCTTTGCCGGGCGTTAGACGATTGCCGGAAGAAATTGAGGCTGAGATGCGAATGGTGGAGGCAGCTTTGGATAAATTAGCCTTGGTTACAGTGGAGTAAGTTGGAACCATAAGTAAATATTAAAACTCTTTATAATTCCGGCTCCCCTTCCCGCCACAGCTTACCCGACAGTGTTATATGGTTCGAACCCCCTATAGCATGTCGCTGGGAAACCCAAATAGAAACTCTCGAAGCCGATTTAATGGACGGTGCAAAACCAACAACAAACAGTAACAACACCACCGAGGCAACACCTATTTCGACAACAACAAATGCCAGCCCTCTTAAAAGCCTGTCACCCCGTTTCCCCTTATCGAAGTTAGGCAAGAAGAGTTCACAAAAATCTGCTGTCGGTGCCAGCGGCAATCTACCCGTGAGAGAAATTACCGACTTCGATATGTTTAATATTCCCAGTGATATCGATATTTATGGTTTGGTAAAAGATTTCATTGTACCTCGAATACCACAAGGATTTTGTGTTCGATTCGATACCGAACGCCTTAAACAATTCCAACAGCAACAACGTAAGGCGCATAAGCATAACAAGCGATGGAAACAGCCAAGGCGTCTGCTGTATTTGGCTAAGCCGAAAAATGTAACATTTACACCAATTCCCATTAGGTCGGTGGCCACCACAACCACCACCAACCACGGAACCTCAAAGAGCTCTTGTTCCAGTAGCTTTGATAATGATATGGCTGAGGAAAAAATGGTTGTGGTTGTGATGGAAGAAACAACAACACCAGCAACAGTAACCGGCACCAATGGCAATGCTGCAAAAGCTCAACGCACATTGGAAAATCTACTGCAAAGATCTCGCATTACTGAGGATTTTCTAGATTTGGATGAGCCTCGGGAATTCTTTCCAAGTGTTCAATTTGAAAAAGTATTAAAAATAAAACCTTATCCAGCCGCAGCAGCAGCAGCGACACCAATCACCATTGACGACAATGACAAACACAGAGTGGCAGATACATTGGATTTAAAACAAAAACGTAGTCCTAGCGACACATCCTCTAAGGATGAGAAAACCAAAGCTGTCAGTCGTAATAGCAGTAAGGGTAGCTTAGCAAGTGACAAGAGTTCACAGAGTAAACGTAGCGTTAATTCAGTGGGTAGTGAAGTATCCAGGCGATCGTCATCGAACCAGAGTGATTCAAAGGAAACGGAAGAGGATAAGGAGTTAACTTCGTATATGTTTTCACAATTAATAGAGGTAAATCCTAAAAAAATTCTATAAATCCCAAGATTTTAATGGCCTTCTAAGAATACTTACTTACTTTGCTGGCTTGTTACAGAACGGTTGTTCCATAAGCCGAGCTTAAAAAAGATTTCCAAGAGCCTCGGTCTTTTGCGCATCTCCTCCAATTTGAATGACCACGTTCCAAGATGTTGTTTTCTACATGGTTTTTCCATCTAATTCGTGGCCTTCCCCTTCTACGGAAACCATCAGTAAGCTCGCTTTTATATGCCTTTTGAGCTGGGACATTCTCATTCATTCGCACAACATGGCCTAGCCATCGTAGTCGCTGCAGCTCGATACGTCTGACTTTGTCGATTTCCAAGAATATACGGTACAACTCATGGTTCATTCGACGGCGATATTCAACGTCGAGGCAGATCGGCCCATAGATCGTTCGGAGAATTTTTCTTTCATACACCCCAAGAGCTCTCTTCTGCTTGAGCAAGTACCCATGCTTCATATTCATATAACAGCACGGGTAGTATCAGCGTCTTGTAAAGTGTGGTGGCCTTGTTTCTAAACTGCTTACTTAGACCATCGTGGCATCTGTTGTCCATCACAATCCTTCTCCGAATTTCAACACTGATGTCATTCGTTATATTTATGATGGTACCAAGATATATAAAATCTTTAACTACCTCGAAGCTGTAGTTCTCAAGTTCCACAGTTGGTCCGAGTCTACTGGACGTCTTGCGTATTGATACCATCAGCTTGGTCTTCTCGCCGTTTACTGCCAGACCCACTTTGGCAGACTCCTTCTCAATTTGTTCAAAGGTGGCTGTTACCGCTGTCAATGTTCTCAAATGTTATGTCGATGTCGTCGGCGTAGGCGATTAGCATGTGTTGTTTTTTGTACAGAGTGTCATTTCTGTTCACCTTGGCGTCTCGTATGACCTTTCCCAGCAGGATGGTAAAAAGGTCACACGACAAACTGTCACCTTGTCTGAATCATCGTTCGGTATTGAAGGGCTCCGATGGGTCCTTTCCGACTTTAACTGCTGACCTTGTGCCACTTATAGTTATCCTGCATAGCCGTATTAATTTTGCAGGAATGCCGTAGACATGGCTTTAAACACCTCTGAACGGATAGGGCTATTGAATGCGGCTTTATAGTCGACGAATAGGTGGTATGTGTCGATGTGTTTTTCGTGGGTCTTTTCCAGGACTTGGCGCAGAGTGAAAATCTGGTCAATGGTGGATTTGACAGGTCTGAAGTCGCATTGGTATGGTCCAATAATGCCATTGATCATTGGCTTCAATCGTTTACACAGTACGCTGGATAGCTCTTTCTATGCGATGGGAAGAAGGCTAATTCCTCTATAGTTGACACATATCGTCTGGTCTCCTTTTTTGTGCACGGGACACAGGATGCTGAGGTTCCAATCATTGCGCATGCAATCCTCTAGCCAAATTGTACTAATCAGCTGGTGCATGCTCCTTACCAGCACCTGAGTTCGGCTGGTAACCCTTCGGCTCCTGCTGCTTTATTGTTCTTCAGCCGATTAATTGCAATTCTGACCTCATCTTGGCTAGGTGGTATGTACTTATACCACCGTCTCTTATTGGTTCTGGGGTATCTTCTTCACCGCTCCTTCCAGATCCTCAACACGCTTTCTGTATCTGTCACCAGGTTTCCTTCTTCATCTCTACGTGAGGATGTAACTGCACCAAAAACCTCCGGTTTGGTGTTTTACTCGTTGGTATAATTTCCGGCCTTCATTCTGGCTCCTGTACATCTCGTTTTGCTCACGCTTACGTTTTTCTTGTTCTTTCTTCTTTTTTCTGAAAATACGTTTCTCCTCTCTCCTTTTCTACCGATAGTTCTCCATCGCATTACGTGTCCGCAGGGTTGCCCTATACGCTGCGTTTTTCATATCAGTAGCATTACAACACTCCTGATCGTACCACGGATTTCTTGATGGTGATCTTTGGTACCCAAGTGTTGCTTTTGCTGCAGTATGTAGTGAGTGGGTAATTCTTTGACATTGTGCTTCTATACTATTATCGGAACAAGAAGTGCTTTCGTCACGCAAGTGGGTAAGTTGAGCGGAGTAGGCCTCGGCAACCTGTTTTGTCTGCAGCTTTGCGACGTCGAGTTTCCGAGTTACATTAGATCTCGCCTTTGCTGCTACATTAAGACGAGTGCGTACCTTGGCTGCAACAAGGTTGTGGTCCGAATCGATATTCGCTCCTCGGATCGATCGAACGTCTAATACACTGGATGAATTCACTTCCTACACAACATGATCAATTTGATTTCTCGTTGCTTGATCAGGAGAAATCCAGGTGGCCTTGTGTATATCGAGATGCTTGAATCTGAATTTTTCGACGGTGGGGCCAAAGATATTTTCCCTTCCGATTTATGCATTAAAATCACCTTGCGGAATTTTAGTCATGGCCAGGGCAACGGTCATATGCTGTTTCTAGGCGCAAGTAAAATATGTGTTTGGAATCTGAATTTTTCGACGGTGGGGCCAAAGATATTTTCCCTTCCGATTTTTGCATTAAAATCTCCTAGCAGAATTTTAATGTCATGGCCAGGGCAACGGTCATATGCTGTTTCTAGGCGCAAGTAAAATATGTGTTTGGTCTGGCATGGGCGCAAATGAGGCTGATGTAGAAGGGCTTCGCAATTCACTCATCTACTGGAGTGAATCTGGAGACGAGGTCTTTTATTCTCCTATTAACCATAAATCCTCAGCCAAATTTATGCTATAATACAGTTCGTAATCGTCTCATTTACTTACGCCTGTCCCTTTCCATCGCATCTCCTGTAAGGCAATAATATCGGCTTTGTACTTCTTGAGTACATCTGCCAAAACGAAAACTGCGCCTGTTCTGTACAAGGTGTGCACATTCCAAGTGCAGGTTCGCAGATCGTGGTCTTTTTACGTTTACAAAGGTCGTCAACATTATGCGGGTTTGGTTTTCTTTTTCTTTGCTTTTTCATAGTAAGAGGTGTTTTCCGAGTTTGGGCAAGTAACCCGACGCCTCAACCTATTTTTTATAGTTCTTATGGATGAACTCGCGGCACATATTAGCTCACTATTTCATCGGGTGATAAAAATAGCTACCCCAGGTGACACCGCGGGGAGGTCAGTGTCCACAATTGAGATGAAAGAGGGACCAAGATAAGCCTGGACTTCGCCATGTTAATGCCAATCAGAGTCGTTGCTTGGTATCTATCATCCCCACCGCCACCGTTGCCACGCCTTATTTAGACACAGAAAAAAAATTAATTCAGGTCTTATTTAGGCTTTGTAAAATCTTCAAAAACACGCCTTGTGTTGCTATTAAGAAATATGGCAACCCTGTTTGATATCCCATTACTACACTCTATTAAATTGGATTTTAAAAAATATTATTGGCAAATCAATCAAACACATTAGTCATCGTTAATATTGAATGATTTCCGCTCTATAATTTTAATATTACCACTCAATAAATGAGAAAGCTAAAAATAAGCT